GGGGCGCCCCCCCAGCCGCTGCTCCAGGCTCGGGGTGCTCCCTGAGCTGGCGTCCCTCTTTAATCCCAGGGTGTATACGTATATATATATTATTTTTCCTTAGAGCAGTGCCAGGGTGCTGGCCAAGGGTTTGATCCTGGCAGGGCACCCCTGAGAGCCCGGTTAATTAATTTATAATCCAAAATCCGCTTCTGAGAAGACGCTGACAGAGCAGCGCAGTCACATACAGCATCTTTAAATACCAACGCTGCATCCTCTGCGTCCCTATGCATCCACGGGCTCCGTCTCCGGAGCACAACGGGCTTCCCGGTGTGGGCTGTAGTGTTCTTGGGAATCCTCTGTGAAAACGGCACCTTGCTCGGTTATGCCGTTACGCGGCGTCGGCTGAACTGCCACCGGCGAGCGATCGCATCCCTTGGCGCGCTGCAGTCGCTCCGGCTTGTGCTTACATCACCGAGCTGCCGAGGTTGCTTCATCCCGAGACTCGCCCAAAGGAAAACCCAGCTGTTAATGGCAAAAGTTGATTTATTGTGTCTTATTGCTAAATTCCCAACGTTGGGAAAAGAACGTTATTTAGTTGGAGAAAAGTTAAAACCAGAGTCTTGCGGCTCTAATGGGCCCCCTCCCAGGCAAGCTCCTGCTCCCGCTCCGGCGTTAATGGGAGCGACTTAACTCGGCAAATTGAATGCAAAAGGTTTGGGAGGTGGCTGCAAAGCCATTTGGCTTTCAGTGGCCGAGGGTTTTTTATACAATCCTCCAAAAGCTCCCCAAAATCTCTGCTAAAGCGTCGCTTTTCAGGTCTTACAGCCCAGATTTGGCTTCTGGGATTAGCGGTTAAATCCAATTTAGGGCAGGAGCTTCTGCCCCTCAGGCACCGCAGCCTCGGGGCGGGCAGGTCGCAGCTGCCTTGCCTGGAGCTTCCTTCCAGGCAGGACCGCGGGCAGGACCGAGGGCAGGACCGAGGGCAGGACTGAGGGCACAGCACTGGCAGTACAGTGGGAGGGATGGCCCCAGCGCAGCCCCCACGCTGGCCGCGAGGGTCCCACACCGACACCGCTCTCCTTTGGGCTCTTGCCCTTCCCACCTTCTCCTGCGGCATCTCCAGGCCGGGCCGGCGAGGTCACGGCTGCTGCCGGCTGCTGCCCTGCCGGAGATGCTGCATCTGGGATCAGCCACGAGATCAGATGTCCTCACAGTGGGAGGGATGGCCCCAGCGCAGCCCCCACGCTGGCCGCGAGGGTCCCACACCGACACCGCTCTCCTTTGGGCTCTTGCCCTTCCCACCTTCTCCTGCGGCATCTCCAGGCCGGGCCGGCGAGGTCACGGCTGCTGCCGGCTGCTGCCCTGCCGGAGATGCTGCATCTGGGATCAGCCACGAGATCAGATGTCCTCGAGAGCAGCTCATGGCTCCTGGAGCCCGGCTCGCGCGGTAGGGCCTCCCCCCGCCACAGCTCCAATCCAGCGACTTCGCCGTGCTGAAGCGGCTAGTGCCGTTGCTGGAGGAGCTGTCCCGCACCTACCCCGAACCCCTCACCCAGGAGCTGGCCACGGACCTGCGCATCGCCATCTGCACCCGCGGGGCCTTCTCCCCCGGAACGGTGGGCGCCGCTGCCGACAGCGTGCTGCAGAGGAAGCCGGGGACAGGAGTGCAGAGCCCTGCCGGCATCCCCGGTGCAGCCCCAAGCGCAGGGGGTGGCCAGGCACTGCCACAGCACCGCCGCAGCAGCCCCTCGGCTCCCAGGGAGAGGAGTGGCGAGCAGAGTGAGAGCCATGAGCCCGGCACTGCGGGTCCCGCTCCAGCCCCATGTGCCGACAGCCCGGCCCCGGCTGGGCTCCAGGAGCTCCTGGTATCGGCCTACGACCCCCAGCCCCCCGGCCGGGCAGCCGCCCTGCGCCGCCTCTCCAGCCTGATCACGCAGCAGGATCCGGAGGCGCTTCGGCTTCAGGAGAAACTTCTCGAGGTACCAGGCTCCCGCCGCGGTCCCTGTCCTGCACCGTGGCACGGAGCTGGGGCTGAGCACGCCAGTGGGCTGGGGGTGGGCTGGGGACGGTCCATATCATCGGAGCCCTCCGAACTTGCCGTTGCTGTCGGCCGAAGGCGCCAGGCAAGAGGGACCAGGGCTGCCACCGTGTGCTGCCAGCCTGGCGTGGGGCTGCTGCCGACGGCGTTCCCCCCTCCTCGCAGGTGTTCCTGGAGAACGTACAGCACGAGGACGCCTTCGTCTACCTCTCGGCCATCCAAGGTGAGTGATGCCCAGCCAGGGCGAGTGCCGGCACTTCACAGGAGAATGTTTTTGTGCTGGGGGGCCTTTGGGCAGCGAGGGTGAAGAGCAGCAGGGCGGCTGCCCGGCCGGGGGGCTCAGCATCTCCTGCCCTCCTGGACCACGTCTTCATGCCATTTGGTCGAGCCTGGAGCCACAGGCGGGCTCTGCGCCATGTTCCCGAAGCCAGCGGGCTTCGGCTCCCGGTTGTAGTTCATTTACCCTCTGACTGAGCCGCTGATCGGCACAGACCGCAGGCACCTCCTCGGTGGAGCCCTGGGCAGGTTCACCCTTAGGGCATCCCCCAGTCCCCGTGCCGAGTCCATGCCGCCAGCCTGGGGCTGCGGTTTCAGCGCAGCGCGGGCACAGCCCCAGCACCCCAGTTCTGCACCAGGCTGACGTTTTGGCTCACCGGTCTGTTCAGCCGTGGCTGGCAGAGGAACCGGGGCCGTGGGGACCCGCTGGTGCTCCCTTGCGGCTCTGCCGCCTCCCTCCCCATGGCCAAGGCGGTAACTACCGACCGGTGCCAGCCAGCCGTGTGGAAGTGGAACCACGGCAGCTTTCTCTGGGTGGGTTCCCCGATCCATTGTGTCTTGTGGCTGGCTGAGGAGGGAGAGCAGCAGCGGGCACGCACCCGGCCCCAGCGCTGGTCCCGGCCATGCAGGCAGGAGGTGGGGAGCAGCAGGCAGCAGGCAGCGGGCTGGCAGGAGAGCAGTGTGCCGCTCTGCTCGCTGCCCTCCTCCCCACGCTGGGCTGCTGCTGGGGTCACTGGGTGCTGCGGCTGCTCATGCCGCTTCCCGGGAAACCCTCACAGCCATGGCACCAGGCTGCCCGTCGGGATTTGCAGGCAGGTGCCTCCGCACCTGGGATGACGCGGGTGTCCTCTGTGATGCCGGCGGGTCGTGGTGCGCCGGGTTACTGGGAAGGACGGTGCCATTCCCATGACCTGAAGCAATACGGGCGCCACCAGGAGCCCCGGCTGCTGTTGAGGTAACCCTCAGCAGCAGCTGGAAAAGGAGCTTATCACCGTGCTTCCCTCTGCCTGTACGGTCTTGAGTGGGACGGGTTTGTCCTTGCCCTGCGGGTGAAACACAAACGCTTCAACCGTCCCCGGGTGATTAATACACCCTGTGCAGCTGCCTCCGTGTTTCGCAGCCCGGCTGCGGCTGTGATTAACCCTGACGCGGTTCCTTGCGGTGGTGACTCACCCAGCCTGCGCTGCGTTGGCAGCAGCACCTGCGGCGTGCCGCGCGCGGTGCTGCCGTGCGTGGTGCTGCCGTGCGTGCCAGGTGGGCTCCTCGCTGCCCTGGTCGGGTTCCCCACCGCAGTGGCAGGGGGCCTCCCCCGCCAGCCGGCCGTGCCAGTACCGGGACCGGAGCCGGCTGTCGCGGCACGGCTGGGAATTGCCAAGCCAGGTTCTGGCAAGGTGGTGCCAGAGGAGAGGTTGCTGCCCCGCCAGACGTGCCCGGGCTTGAGGAGGGTAACCCACGCCGGGTGCCCTCCGATAACCGGGGAACGGGGTTGGAGGTGAAGGCGGCTGCTCCTGGAGGGCAGGGGAGCTGGGGCTTGGCCTGACTCAGCAGCTGCCTTTCACCATCGGAGACGCACCCACCGCCCAGGGAGCCCGGTGCTGCCAGAGCCCTGCCGGGTGCCTGCCCCCAGCCTGGTTTTCACCCAGCGCTGCCTGCGATGCTCCATTCAGGCTTGCTGGCTCCGGGCAGCTCTCTAAAGGGACGGCAAAGCCAGTGCATCCCTGCGGTGTAGCCCGATGTGTGCCCTGCATCCGGGGTCTGACCCCTCTTCATTCCCGAGGAGACACGGCCGGCACGGGGTGCGCTTGGGCTCCGGCTCCCAGCCCGGGCCAGGCAAACCCGGGGGGGTTCCTGGAGCCCCGGTGGGAACGAGGATGCGCCAGCAGCGTGTGCCCAATGGCCAGGAGCTGAGAACAGCGACCAGGCACTGTGCCCAAGTGTCGCCTGCGGTACCCGGCTGCCCCAAAGCTGTGCCAGCTTGGGGAAGAGCCCCGCAGCGTCCGACGGCCGGTGTACCGGGTTGACGCTGGGTTGATGACTATTAACCAGCAGCAATTAGCGGGCACCTGCTGCCAGCTGCTGAATTACTTATCTTTCAGCTTGGCACCCAACGGCACCCGGCACTGGGCTGCCCCGGTGCTGCGACTTTGCATGGAGGGGCTGTGGGATGTGCCATGGGGCTGGGGCAGTGCAGGGGGTCCCGCGGGTGACGGCTACACCTGCTGCACCAAGGGCACCAGGGCGGCACAGCCGCCGGCCGTTCCTCTGCCGAGCGTGGTGGCACGTGCCGTCCTCCTGCCTGGCCCTGACCCGTGCTTTCCTCTCACTCTCCCCCCAGGCGTTGCCCTCCTCTCCAGCGAGTACCCGGAGCGGATCCTGCCCGTCCTGCTGGCACGGTACGGGTGCCCGGCGCGGGGCACGGAGGACACCGCAGCTGCTGTCACCAGGATGAAGCTGGGCGAGGTGCTGATGCGTGTCACCCGGGCTCTGGGTGAGTCCCCGCGGGCGGCTGGCCGCTGCAGGCAGCTGCCGTGCCGCTCGGCCCCTTGCTGCACTCTGCCGCGCTGCTGGGTCTGGGGCGTAAAGCCATCCGGGGCTTCTTGTTGTCTGGAGGTGAGAACCAGCTCCCGTGGCCCTGCCACGGAGGGTTGGAAGCTGAAGGGCGCCTGGCCGGGGTTTGCTGGTGGGCAGGAGCAGGGCGGCGGGTCCTGCCGACAGCCCACCATCCCCTCAGCCGGCAGTGCGGGGCTCGGAGGCTGCCGGGAAGCGCCCGGGCACGCAGGGCTGAGGGGTAAAAGCTGGATGAGGCCTTTCCGGCAGCCGCTGTTGGGACACGTCCTAAAACACCTTGTCTTATTCCCCAGCAGAGGCCAGGGCAGCGAGAGCAGGCAGCCGGAGCTCTCTGCAGCTGGGGAAGGTGGCAGCCGGTGTCCCCGCTGCCAGGGCAGCTGGGCAGGGGTCCCCGATCACCGGCCGGGTGCTTTGTCCCCAGGTCGGCCATGGCAGAGCCAACCTCCCTGGCTGCCTGGCCTGCTGGAGCTCTTCTCCGGGGCACAGCCACCGCAGCGGCATCCCCTGGCTGTGGCAGCATCCCCGAGCTCTGCCCGCTGCGGGCATCCTGCCAGGGCTGGTGCTCCCTGGGTGTGCTGCTCCCCTGCCCGCTGCCGGGATGGCGATGGGGCATCCTACGGGCTGGCAATCCCATCATCTCCCCGTGGAGCTCATGCCAGCGGCGGCAGAGCCTCTTGGTCTCTAAAGGCCCCTGGGTTATGTCCGTGTGTCCAGCCCTCCCCTTGCCCGGCGCTGCGGCTGGCAGCGGGGGGGTGGGCACGGCCTCTGCCGCGACTCTCCCTCCTCCCCCCAGTGCCTCTGCCGCGGGCAGCGACTCCGGCGCGTCCTGGCTCGCCTGCGTATTTATAGAACAAATTGCACGATGTTGTTTCTGTTGCAAAGCTTCAGAATTCAAGAGCGAGGATTTACCCGGTGCTTCCAGAAATGCTCTGCTCTGTGCAGCAGCGCTGCTGCGGTTCAGAGCTCTCCTGCTTCTGCCTGGGGGCTGCCGTGCCTCCCTCCTGCCCCGTCCCTGTCCCCGTCCCTGCCTGCCATCCCGCTGGAGCGGCTTTTTTCCCATCCAGGAGGGGATTTTGCACCAGGCACCTATCGCCCAGCAAACAGCTGGTGTGGGCAGCATGGCTGGAAGCGCACGGCAGCCCCGTCCCAGGCGTGCGGTGCCATTCCTCTGCCTCCAGCACCGCGGGGCCGAGCACCGTGCCAGGGTTCATGGAGACCTTGCACCAACCCACTTAGCTTTCGCTGCAAACCCATTACGTCTGCTCTGGGTGCGCCATGTCAGACCTTTTCCCTTCTCTGTCAGGGAGCACGTGCCTTGCTTGCTGCAGGAAGGGAAACGCTTCGTGCTCTTTCTGTGGCCGCCCGGCACAGCGCCAGTGTGCTGTTGGCTTTGGAGGAGATGCATCATGCTTGGATCATCCAGCACGGCTTGGACTGCCATAATACCAGCTCCTGGGGTGCAAGCACGGAGCAGGCTGCATTCCCCAGCAAGCGTGGCCGTTCTTGGCGTCACGCCGCTGCCCCGAGCTCTGCCACCCTGTGCTGCGCAGAGCCATCGCTGCCCTTCCGAGCACGCCGTCCTTTAGTAACAGGGAGGGCCATGTAGGAGGAGTGAAGCTACAACTGGACGGTCCTACAGAAGAACCCGCTGCCTGCTGCCTTGCCTGTTCCTGCCCAGCTCTTGCCCATCGCATGCAGTATTTCCCCTCCTTGCACACAGCCGGTGCTGGCAGGCTGTTGGCGTGCCGGCGGTGCAGGGGCTGGCTGGTCCCCAGCCCCTCACAGCAGCGGTCCCAAGCCCCTGTGTGCAGGGTGATGGGGTCCCACTGCTGCCTGCAGGGCTTATTCCTGTCCCCACATCCTGGGGCGTCCCGGGGCATCCCACTGCCTCCGTTGGCTGCAGGACACCAGCGTCCGAGGGGCTTACGGGGCTTGGGAGAGCCAGGGAACCACCGAGCTGCGGGTCAGCTAGCCCGCCGGGGCTTCCTCCTTTCCTCCGTTACTCCCAGGCAAGTGCCACCCCGCGCTCCCCTTGGCCGGAGCAGCCCCTGCCCGGTGGGAGCCATGCCCACGATGTGGGGAGCGCGGCCACTGGCCCAGGGCACCTCTTGTGCCGGGTGATTGAGCATGCCGGTCACGGGCTCTGCGCGCCGACCTCTAATTAGGCGGCTCACACATCCGCGGCGCCTGCGTGTGCTAATTGGGGGGGGGTTGTGCGGCTGAATTACGTGAGAACTTGGGCTTCGCACTTCATTTCTGTGTGCTGTATCTGCGGTCACCTCTGAACGGCCCCACGGGAGCCGGGGGGACGTGGGATGCACCGAACGGCTCCAGACAAAGGTCTTTGCCATGGGGTGTGTGCTGCCGGGGTTTGCCGGCACCCCGGGGACTGCGCCACGGCATCCTTGTCCCTGGCACCACGGCGGGTCCCCACCGGGGCTCTGTCTGTGCCTTGCTCAGCGCTGCGCCCGGGTCCCTGCGCTGCGCACAAGCCGTGCTCCAGATGTTGCATCCAGCTGTTCGGTGGTGCTGCAAGGAGGGGCGGGGGCAATCCGGCTGCTCCTGATGGAGCGGGGCTTTGGCAGGAAGGGGCTGTGGGTTTTTCCTTGCCCATGACGTGCTGCTCCACTCTCTTGCAGGGGACATGGTGTTCAAACACCGGGAGCCGCTGGTCCAGGCCTTCTTGCGGGGCGCACGGGACCCCGACAGCGCGCTGCGGGCCAGCAGCCTCTCCAACCTGGGCGAGCTCTGCCAGCACCTTGGCTTTCAGCTGGGCTCCATCATCCAGGAGGTACCAGCTCCATCCCGGCACCGCCGGCCCCTTCCCCGGGTCCCTGCCTGGGGAGCGTGGGGCCATCGCTCATTAACAAAGGTGGTTCGTTAGCAGATGGCAGGGCTGGTGCTGGGGGACAACAGCCTGGGGTTTCCATAAAGGACCTGAGGGATATTTGCTGATAGCGGAGGGTATAGAAGTCATTGGACCTGAAGCAAACACTCAGGAAATACTAGCCCCCGGTTTTAGGGCTAAAAGCTTTGTAATCAGCTAAAGATGTCGCTTGTGCAGGGAAGCGATAGCCCAAGGAAATGCACGGTGCCTGCTCCACCCATGGCAATCGCGCTGGAGGAGGAGAGCTGGGGGCACAGTCCGTACCCGCCAGAGGCACCGCTCCCGCTTAAGGAGACCTCGTTACCCTGCCCGTTATCACGAGGCAGCTGAGGCTGCGGGCTCCTGGTGCGATGCGATGCGGCTGCCGCCGGAGCTGTGGTCCCACTGGGGTGAGCCTGGCACCGAGGTGCGGCAGCCCTCGAGCTGGTGGGTCTGTGCCCCCACGGGAGCTGGAGCTTCACCCCTTGTGCCGCCCGGGGCAGGAGGGAAGTCAGGAGACATCAGGGATGCGGAGCTCGGGTTCCCTTCTCCCATCCCTGCTCGCAGCCGCTCGGCATCGGTAGGGTACCGGCAGCGTTTGATGAGATGCCAATGCACCACACACAGCTATTTCGGGAAGGCGCTAGCTCTGCTAATTCTCCCGGCTGTCACTGCCGGGGGTTTAATTAGGTTCCTTCGACTCTGCTTGCTTTTTATAAAGCTTTCCAAGGCGTCTGCGTGCCGCTTAGCCCCTGCGAGAGATAGGGCTGCTCGGTGCCCGGCGCCCTGCAAAAAACCAGTCCCCCCAGTTGGGTGCCCAGCAGGGGAACGTGTGGCTGCCCCAGGCTGGGTGCAGGGGTCCCATCCTCACCCTCCAGTCCCAGGCCATCCCCACCACCATGGCCGGCTGCTCTGCTGCGTGTCCCCCTGCTGATGGCCCCGCCGCCCTGTCCCCACAGGTCACCTCCTGCTTGACGGCCATAGCCAAGACGGACCCCGAGGCGGAGGTGCGAAGAGCCGCCGTGCACGTGGTGGTGCTGCTGCTGCGGGGGCTCAGCGAGAAGGCCACCGAGGTGGGTCACCTCCCCGCTCGTCCCTGGGGCAGGAGCAGCCTCGCCAGGCTCCTGGGCATCCCCGGGCACCAGCACGGTGCCCCTCGGGGCCAGTCCCTGCCCCCTGGGGGCTGCAGGGCCCATTCCCAGGCAGCTTCCAGGGAAAGTCCCATGGGACCAGGACCTCCAGCTTGTGCTCCCCCCCAGTGCTGGATCCTTCCCGGGGAGGGGTGTCCCTCTGAGCTGCTTGGCTGTGCCGTGGGGCAGTGCCATGCCATGGGGCAGTGCCATGCCGTGCCGCAGGATGCTGCCAGCTCTCGGGAGCCGTGGGAGTTGTTTGTCACTGATTTGACTTGGAAATGCCCTGTTTTTCCACGGAGCTGTGGCCTCCCTCCCCGCTTCCCAGCAATGAGCGTGTTGGGACTCAGCTCCCACGGAGGAAACAGCCGGTTCCCTACGGGAATCCCCGCGGCACAGATCTCGGCTTCCCCTCACGCCCCTGTGCCGGAGGGACGCTGCAATGCACCGCTGTGCTGAACC